GCCTTCAAAGTGAACAAGTCAGGGGGTACACAATCTGAAAGTTAAATTCTGAAATCTCAGTGGGAGCATCAAATCCTATGTAGATCAAACTCTGTGCCCATCTCAAAGTTCTTCTGTACAACAAATGACCACAGCATATTAAATTTAAACTAAATGTATTCTGGAAAGACAAAAGAGCTTTACTCCACAATAGCTGACAAGAGGGTCGAGATACATGGAGAGATGAATCTATTTCATACAGAAACCAAGCCAAAAAATTACTGAGAAAATTAGAGAGAAGGACTGTCTTTTAGCAGTTATCTCGTGGGGACAAAACTTGTGGAGTTTGGGGACCCTTGTGGGAAAATTTTGATGACTTTCTGATGTTGTCCTTTATTCCAGGCTGGCCTCCAACTCACAGTGATCCTCCTGCCTCAGCCTCCCAAGTGCTGAGATTACAGGCACACACCACTATGCCCGGTTTTGATGATGTTTAAGATTTTTATGTTGTATTTTTGGGGGGAGGAACCCTGGGCCTCACCTACACTGGGCAAGACATCTACCACTATCTACATCTTCCATGCCAGAAAATGTTAGCAACTTAAGGCATACATTACAGAAGGAAAAATTTAAATTTAAGTTTCTTTATAATGTAGATATTTCCAAAGGAAAATGTTTTAAAGACATGCAGAAACTCTCAGAAGTTCCCAAGAATGCCCAAGGCAAGAGCGAGAGGGTAAGAGGTTGCCTACTATGTTGGAAGATTTTATGAAAACAATAATAAAAGAGCTATGCACCCCGGAACAAGAACTGGCTCACCATTGGCCAGAGTCCATCACATGACCCCAGCTACCTGCAGGGAATGCTGGGAAATGTAGTTCAATATGGAAACCAGGCCCCTAGCCCTATTAAAACTTTGAACTCACAGACAAGAAATGTGGACAAAGGGCCTGGTATCTCCACGGATGAAATCATTCTCTAGCACTGAAGTTACGAAGAATAACGCTGTACCCCACATGCATTCGTGAGTGCACCAGTTTTGGAAACCGGAAGTCCAAACTCACGGAGAAACCAGGGCTATGCTAGCACTGACGGCTGACATGGAGTTCTGCTTGTCACACCTCTCCAGTATTCGCACGGCATTCTCTCTGTGCGCAACTGTGTCCAAATGCACCTTTTTATTTTATTGGTTGATCAATTGGTTGATTGCATTTCTCGGAACTGACCCCAGAACCTTCACACTGAGCTACACACCCACTCTTTTGTGTTTGTTATTTATTTTGAGACAAGTCTTCGCTAAATCACCAAGTTGCCCGGGTTGGACTGGCACTTGGAATCCTCCTGACTCAGCCTCCCACAGAACGGGGATGACAGGCGTGTGACACCATGCCTGGTATCAAATATGCCTTCCGCATAAGGACAACAGCATATTGGATTAGGGGTCTCCCTCCTCAAGAATCTCTTCATCCTAACTTAGCTGGCAACACCTGCAGAGGCCATATTTCCCAAAAAGGCCATATGCTGCTAGAAGAAGATGATGGAGAAGCGAGGGTTTTCATGTCTGAATTTGGAGGGACACAATTCCACGCATAAGAACGCATCAATATTGTGTATTTGTGTGTAGTCACATCTTCCAATTTCAGGATGCAAGAGAAAATCGGCAAGCAATACTTCCCCCTCTGCTGCAACTGGGAAACCTGCCGTGTACTGTAGTGGTTTCTACTTGGGTAAAAAACCTCAAAACAGTTATGCTTATGTTTCTGGAACAAAGTGAAGAGAAAAACACAGCCCACAGATATGCGGCCTTGCTTTTCATCTTTAAATCTTAGCATTTTAGCGACTCTCCATTCCAGCAGGAAGATGTTCATCCACGAACCACAAGAGCCATTCACATACTCACCAGGAAAAGGTAAGCACAACCCCGCACATTAGACATCCAGTGCCACCCTTTTCTTCTCAAAAATGTATAGTTGCAGTTCCCTTTCACTTGTCTCAAATTTTCAGCAGGGGACAAATGTCCTAGAGGAGGCGGCCTTGGTGATTCTGTAATGAGAGATTCTCCCAAGCCATGTGCTATACTTTGGATGTGGGGCAGCTCCCAAAGGCCTTGAGTTGAAGGCTTTGTTCTCCATCTTGATACTATTAGCTGGTGGTGTTAAGACTTGGGGTCTAGTGGGAGGAAGTTAGGTCACTGGGGGCATGGCCATAGAGGAGATATTGGGAACCCACTTCCTCTCTCTGTCTCTGCTTCCCAGCTGCCATGATGTGAGTGTCTTTCCTCCCCCACACCTGTCCATTATGATGCTGCTGCCCTGGAGCAGCCGACCATGGACTGAACCCACTGAGACCACTGGAGCAGCCGACCATGGACTGAACCCTCTGAGACCACTGGGGCAGCCGACCATGGACTGAACCCTCTGAGACCATTGGAGCAGCTGACCATGGACTGAACCCTC